ATAAAAAATAGTGTGATTGAAAGTATATTATAAGCAAGAGGATAATTAATATAATTTCAAAAAAAATCATCACCTAAATCACATTTATATATAATTAGTACTCTATTGTCACATGACTTGTGCGGAATTATTGTTTTATGTTTATTTTTAAATATGGTTTATATATAAATATAATTATTTTTAGATTATAAAATGTAAGTATAAATAATTAAAATTTTATAATGTAAAATCATAAATTATTCAACACTATACTATTTTTATTTTCTATTAAGACAAATTAAAAAAATTATATTTTTAATAAAAATATTGAATGCAATTAAAATATTTAGTTACAAATTGAATTTTTCTGACTCAAACAATTTAAAAAGACTATGACAAATTGGACCTCCCCATAGCATTTCCTGATTCATAATTGTAGGTAACAGTCTTCTTCCCCAAGCACAACCGAAATATGACAAATTATTATTGTCCTTTTGGTCTCGTACGTTTCCTCGAAATCATGACCATTCAATTATGGATGAAACGAGCCAGTGGACGTGTGGAGCCCTGGTTCTTCTGTTTCAGCCACCTGGTTAGGTTATTGCCTCAATCACATAACACCCCCACAAACTTAATTTCCGCCGAATCATAACCGTTAAATTAGGGACAAATTCTTTGTTCTCTTTCAATTCAATGACCGTCCATTTGACTTCTCCCATTCACCCAAAAAATGTTCACGTCCAAGTTCATTGCTTCAGGTGTGAAATTGAGTTACATCGGGAAACACATCAGCTACTTTTGACTGTAATTTTCCTAAGTCCTAACGCGTGAATAAACAGTAATTTAGTTTTAAATTACAAGTAAGTAGCAGGTAATTGCATTTCTCAATGAAGAGTTTGACGATTTGTCAATTTTAGTCATTCGTGCCATTGAAGCAATCAATACCATTGCCAACTTCAACAAACAGAAGGTCATTTCAATTTATTGTCTGCTATCTACATGGCTCCCAGTAATAATGTTGTCAAATCAAAGGTCATTTCAATTTATGTGCTATCGACACCAAATAATAATGTTATGAAAAACTCTTTTTCTATTTTAAAAGGTTTTAAAATTATTTTTATTTTATCTTTTAAACACTTAATATTTTTACATTTCGAAATTCTTTTTTTTCAAATATTTTTTACTTTTTGACATTAAAAATCATGAAATATTAAGCAATTTTTCAAATTTAATATTAAATATAATAAAATGAAAGTATTGTAGGTTAGGTCAAAAGTGCAACCTTTATCGTGCCAGAGATAGAGAACCAGTTTAATGGCATGTGCTTATATTTTAAGGATTCGAGTTAATCCGTCCATCCACCCATCTAGCGATGTCCGAAATGTTTCCAAGAGAAGACGTAAGAAGAAAGGAAAAATCCTCAACCTCTTAAATTAAATGTGCAGAGGAAATGAACGCCCAAGAAACACCTGAGCGGGTAGAGTGGCAACTGGCAAGGCAAGGGAGAGGACCCAGTTGTATAAAGATTTTGTCATTGTTAAATCAAAACCCTTAAAAAGTTTCTCTTTATTTGCTTATCGTATATATATCTTTGTTTCCTTATTCTATATATATTATATATATAGGCCGGCCTCCCGAGTCGATAATGATTTTTAAGGGATGAAACAAGCAAACAATTTTCAATGTATATGATATAACTATCATATATAACTTACGAAACAAATAAGATATTAAATAGAGTAATAAATCAATATAAATTAGATTAAATCTACGTGCGTGCCGGGGCCTTACTATTGAAACAAAGTCTTATCCACTTTTGTTATTAATTGTACATTAAGTTATTAAAAAGTGTAATACATAAAATATTAATTTATTTTTTGTACACTAAAACAAAGAAACATAAACTTTTTTTTTTCTTTTGAATAATTCATAATTGACTATTTGAATTAATAGTAAGTACACTGTATTGGGTTTGAGTCTGATTTCTCTCAAGATAAAAAAAAATGGAAGAAAAACAATTGAAAAAGTTCAATTACTCAAATTTTTGCATAACATCAATTAACTTTTCTTTTAGTTTCATTTTCTGTTTCAATCTTTATAATTGATTTTGATTATATTTAATAACTTGAATATGTTAATCTTACTGTAACCTCCATAGAAAAAATCTAATTAATTAACACCTTTAAGCCTTTTGTTTGTTATGTCTGATGCAGTTCCCTATTTCACCAATTAACATGTATTTCTTTGCACTGCATAAAATCCGTAGCATTTAATTTGGCTTTACCTTGGCTTCCTTTGTCACCCGCATTTGGGTTGATTGGAATGCTTTGGTTAATTAACATGTGTATGTGTCACGGGCCACAGTCCAGACCCACCAGGAGGCCCAAGAAGTGACATAGTCCGGACCCGCCAGGAGGCCCAAGAGGGTGCCAGCCCACTAGACCCATGTAGGGGGGGCTGCTGGAAAATTCAAATTTTCCCTCCCAACCGAATTTCTAGAACCTTCCAAAACTTTGGAGGGAAATCTTTTGGGGGGGGAATACTTTGAATTGAAAACTTTGGAGGGAAATCTTTTGGGGGGAATACTTTGAATTAAAAACTTTGGAGGGAAAAGTGGGTGGGGAACCTTGGCTATAAATAGCCCCATCCACCATTGTGTAAATCATCCATTTTTGCATCCATTTTTGCATCCATTCTTGCATCCTTTGTATTTCAATTCATTCAATATAAAGAGTTTAGTTTTTCTCTAGCATTCTCTTCCCATTTTTCCTTCCTTGTTTATGCAAGCTTGCTTGCCGGCTTAAAGCCATTGTGCGGGTGTTGAGCGCTTGTCGGGTGAGTAAGGCTGACTTGGGTTCTACTGCCGAGCTAAGGGCTGAATCCAAGGCCGCACGAAGGTGGTCTTAAGAATCGCCCCGTGACATATGCACGTGTAGTTGTGCAGTTTGACAATTTGTTTAATGTCGTTAGTCATCATAATTAATTGTGATGGCTATTTTTTATAAAATAAATAAATAAATAATAATAAATTAAAAAATAAAAATAAAAACACTAACAAAACTGTAAAGTAGGAACCTCAAGTGAAACTGCAGTAGAAGTTATCTTGTATAAAGAACAATATAAAATTATGAAAATTATATTGTAAGGGAAAAGCCTTAAAAAAAACTTAACAAAAAACAAAGAGGGGAAAAAAGAGAGACACTCAACTGATTGATTTAAGAGACAAAATTTTTTTAGCTCTTAAAGCTAAGGAATTTTTGAAAATATTTTTTTAATTTTAATTATTTTTAGTGAAAAAAAAGATTTTTAGACAAAATCACTTTTAATGAAACCTTCTTATATTTAAGTGCATATAAAAAAATTATTATTATATGTAATGTTAAAAAAATTTATTTCATGCTATATTGAAAAAAATTATTACATGTCATGTTGAAAAAAAATTATTACATATTATATTGAAACAAAAATTATTATATATCATATTCAAAAAAATTATTGTTACATGTTTTGTTAAAAGAAAAAATTATTATATGCCTTGTTAAAAGAAAAAATCGTTATATGTTATATTGAAAAATATTATAATTATCTCCTAAAACTTTCACAAAAAGTAAAAAACATATTTACAGCAAAACTAATGAACTTTTTCATTACGAAATCATTAAAAAGTGATACAAAGTTTTGTGATTACCGACAAAATCACTTGATAAGAACTTTTTTTGAATTTTTTATGAAATTTTACCAAATCAAAAATATGGATGGAAATAACCAAAACACAAAAAGCATTTTCTTCCTTACAATTCTTTTTCACCTTCTTTTTTTTTTTCTTTTCACTTTCTCTTTATTTCATTTTTGCATCGAATTAGAAAAAATTGAAACTTTTTATTTATTTGAAGATGGATGGAAAATCTTGAACCATTCCTTTCCTTTCTTCTGCAATCAAAACGTAAAAACCGTTTTCTTCTCTATAGTTATTTTTCACTTTCTTCTTCTTTCTTTTTTTCCACTTTCTCTTTGTTTCAATTTTACACCGAATTTGAAAAAATTGAAACCTTTTGTTTATTTCAAGATTAATTGAAAAATCTTGAACTATTATTTTCCTTTCTTTTATTTAAATTGATTTTATTATTAAGATTTTTGAAAGGGAAGATAAGCAAATCAAAAACATTGTTTTGAATGGTTTAAAGAGCATGATAGAGTGGAGAGAGAAAAGAGTGTTGGATGGATAGTTTTCTAGATAATGTGAGAGAGAAATATTTAATTTGTCTGAAAGTATTTTAAAGACTTTTTTTATCAAGTTATAGTAAAAATTAAATAAAAACAGTTAATTTATTTTTGAAATGAGCTTACGAGAATGATCATTTTTCATCATTTTCTCTTAACTTAAGGTATATATAAATATATATATTTTTAGATTTTATTAGTATCTGAAAACAGATAGAAAACTGATCAAAGCATTTACCTGATTAAAATCACCACATAATACAAAGCTGCCCAGAACACACTAGCATCTGAAAAGAACATCAGCCCATGGACAAATAACCATGAGGGGAAAATATTTAAGACCGAGACACTGTAAAAGAAAAACATAAGCAGGAGCAGACGCGGTTGTAATAAGGGATAGTTCAAACTGCAATCCGATCCATCTCGGTTTATCACCTCTTTAGTTATATAATAATACTACCGTAAGATATACCACGGCCAGCTATTGGATAGCATCTTAATTTGATTATTGGGAAGCTACGAATTCTACATATATCTGGAGACTGTGAAGTGGAATCGCTAATATTTGAAGTGATGAATCAAGGCGGTATAACATTCTTGGCGAAAAAGGTTGGCATCAGATAAAAATGGTAGATACAACTTTTTCAAAGCATTAAAGATACTCAACCACAACGACAAACATGAAAATGAAAGGAAGAACCCTAGCATTGAATTGAGCCAACCACCAACGCCTAACGCTGTAGTACTTGTCGACGTATTTCTCATTATATTGCCTCGTTCAACTTTTCCTATAAAAACCCTCAAACCCTGAAGACCTTAGCACGCCAAGCATCAGCTTCCTTATAATCAACTACTTGAAAACACTCTTGCTTAAGTTCTCTGTGAAATTCTTATTTCCTCCTCAGTAATCCCCATGGCTACCACTATGTCCCTGAAGCTTGCATGCGTCGTGGTTTTGTGCTTGGTGGTGGGTGCACCCCTGGCTCAGGGGGCCATAACATGTGGTCAGGTCTCAAGCAGGCTGGCACCATGCATTGCTTACTTGAGAAGCAACGGAGCTGGTGCTGTGCCTCCATCTTGCTGCAGTGGGGTAAATGCTCTTAACAGCGCCGCCCAAACCTCACAAGATCGCAAAACGGCTTGCACCTGCATCAAAAGTGCTGCTAGCTCAATTGCTGGCATCAACTATGGAGCCGCAGGTTCACTCCCAGGCAAGTGCGGCGTGAGCATCCCGTACAAGATCAGCCCCAGCACTGACTGCAACAGGTCCGTTTTATTACCAAACCATTTTGAAAAAAATTTCACGAAAATTAATTAATTACAGCGAAAGAAAATGGCCCAAAAGGTTGTTATACCATAACAGTTTTAAGTTACCAATTGTTTCTTAATTAAATGATTATTTTTTTGTTGCATTGCAGCGTCAACTGAAGTTCGCCGAGGAAAGTTTTCATCTGAAGGGAAGGAGAATATGATAGTTAGCGAATAAATGGATGTATAGCATCCATCCGGATAGCACCCTGTGTAGGAGTTGTCCTTAGTTTGAGAGCAAAAGGTTGCTTTATGCAACTCTATCTGTTATTTCTGCTTGATATATATATATCACGGATTTGTTCTTCTAGCTATATACTCTTCATTTACCTTTTTTTTCTTTTTTTTTTTTGTTTTCCGTAAAGTAATATTATTTACGGATACATTTGCACAGCTACAAGTGAAGAGAATTGAACATGGAGATTTTAATAAGTTCCTAAGCGTTACGAACAAACAAATTTGTCGTTTAGTTTTAAGCGTGAGAGTTTTAAGACAGTCGGGACAAATTGTGAGCCATAAATCAATAATCCTCATATTTCAGCGTATGTCTACATGTAATTACATGCTCAAGGCAAACCATAAATCCATTATCTTAAAATCTTAAACTTTTCAAACAAAGGAAACCTAATTAATTTTAAACGAATAGATCTTCAAAAATCATTTTTTTGGTTGATGACAATTAATTAGGTTTAATTATTTGATAAAGACTTCAGAATGTCTAATACAAAATATTATGTCATTTGTTCTCAACAGAACCATCCCAATTTTTAATCTCTCTTGACATGACAACATTTCATTGGACAATTTTAAGATTGGGATCTTCCAACTCTTAGGTGGGTCAATTATTCATAAATGGGTCATTTTAAGTGGGATAAATAATTGACAAATAATCGTTTTTATTAAAAAATATTTTTGTAAACTGATTATAGGAGTGCCAACTATAAGAGGGAAATCTATCGGTGACAATGGGACAGGTCAAGTCAGTTTCAGATCTGAGTCATTTACGGTTACGAATCTTGTCACATTTTATGATGTTCGAGTTGGGTCTTTTTTGGGTTTGAGTTGCTTTGGTTATCGGATCACTAGAGTTTGAAATTATTTTCATTTAGATTAATTCAACTTCAAGTTAGAACACATATTGGATTATTTCGAGTTTAATTCACCTAAACATTCAAGTCATTACAGGCTAAGATGATTTAGATTTTGAGAAATTTAAAGTTGGCACTCTCCTTTTATCTTCTAATATGTTTTACATATTTGGTTAGTTATATCAAATCTCACTTTTGGATAAAATTATATTAAATTATTTTCAAAATAAAGACCTTATGGAGTTTAAAGATAAATTTTTCATTAATTTTTTAGACTAAAACCTTTAAATATTAAAAATAAAAATTACTTTTAATAAAAAATCATTACGTTAAAAGATTTTTATTTTTAATGATAACAAAATATTAAATTCAATAAATAAGTACATAAAATTTTGAGTCTAATTAACAAGTAAAATAGGTAGTTTTTTTTCTCGAACAAATCAATTTCATTAATAAAAAGTAACTTACCAAGCTTCACGGTCCAAAATGATGCACTGGAAAGAGAAAAATATAATTAACTAGAAACAATGCCTAAATAATCATAAAAATAATAAATACAATAAAACTGGTTACATAACGCATAACAAAAAGAACTATCATGAGTTGAAGCACACTCCCTAGACAAACCGTAACACTCTAAGATAATTTTTACCATCAAGCATAAACACTTATTGAGTTAAAACAATCCTCATCTTTACATCATTGAAGGTATCAACGCACACTGCACATATTCAGATGATCAACTCCCATATTTTCGAGTGCATCCGCAAAGTGATTCACCTCCTTCTAAATATGCTTATATTTGACATCGCCAATCGTCTTTTGCAACGTGTCAATATCATTACAACCTGTCAATATCAACAAAAACCTGTGAGGACGGGTAAAGGGCCGCAAGGGAGCTATGTTTTGTCAGAGAGTGTTTTTGAACCCAGTGAGTGACTGTGTGGTAGGCAGAAAAGTAGGAGGGGTAGGGTTGTCGTAGCAATTGATTGTGAGGCGAGGATCCAGGCTTTTTCTTGTGGCTTCGAAAATTTTGTCATCGTTGTGCTGTCTGTCCTTCGGGTCCGCAAGTTGCAGAAAATGGTTTAGGGGCTAAACCATAGCCTTTGTGTGCCTGAGTAGTTAATTCTTTAAAAATCATAACCTAAATGCCTTCAAGAATGTCGCCTAAACCCTAATTCATCCCTTGGATGCATACATCAAGGACATATGACTCAAACAATCGATTTATGTGATTGAGATTCAAATTTTTCCCACTTAGGGATTTGATCAATCATAGGTTTGTCTCTTTTTCATTGGCATGAACCTGAGTTCAATCGTATATGCTAATTGTGTGACAAATACTATAGGAGCAATTGAGAAATTCACGTTCCAATTAATCTCATTTGTCAATTGTCCCAAGCTTAAGATTAGTGTAACCAATGAAAGGTGTTCCCTCTTAGAGAACGAACAAACTTCTTACCATGAGATCTCCCTGCTTGCATTGTGGCAAGTTAATTGCCCCCAAGTGTGTAACATGTTGGTGAGTGTTTCCTTTATTGTCAAACTAGCTATATGAGGTTTGATGGTTGATAATTCTCTAGCAGCTTCTTACAATCAATCCTTTGGATGGTGCGTCATGATTTTGTGGAGGTTTCGATTCTGGATGCTGGCTTTCAAAGGAGCTGTGTGAGTCGACTCTCTCAAGGTTCGTGAACTTTTTTTGAGGGAGCCATGACACATCAACGATGACCAGAGCTTTCCAAGATGGTTGAAAAGCAAAGTGCTGGTTCTCGTTTGTTGGTATGTTCAAAGGTTTGTGAATTGATCAATGGATGAAAGATGTGTTAAGTTCTGGTTCACGATTTCTTTGGTTTGCTCGTTCTCCTGCTTGACCTTCCACTGGAAGGGAGTTCTCTGTTTTTGTTTTGTACTCCTGATTTGCTTTGGAAGCGGGTTGTCTTGCGGTTTCCTTTTGTTGCTGGTGGAAGTGCTCCATGTCGATTCCTTGGGAGCTATGACAGTTCAAAGATGATCAGTGATTTCCAGGCCCATTGAAATGAGCCGAAGGTGCCTCTTCCCTTTTTATTTGGTTTGCGTTATGATTTGAGATTTGATCATCTATAAAGGACGTTTTATGCTCTGTTTCGAACTCTTTGGTCTACTTAGTCTTCTGTTCATTTCCCACTGGATGGGATGCTTTGTCTCAGGCCCGTGCTCCTGATATTTTTTAGGGGGTCCTCTTAGGTTTCGGCGTATACGGCATATTGTTGAAAGATCTAAATTTTCTAGGCTTTAGCGCTGCACTTCTTGTAGGATCCTTTTATCTTTTTCTGGTTGATATTGTTACGACCCTTTACTGATTCTGCTTGCCGTCTATGCTTGATGCACAGTGTATCTTTTTGCAAATGTACATTTAAATTCCCACATCATGCGCTCTATGCCACAAGTCTTCTGCCAATTTAATTAAAGACTTATCATGACACCATCAGTGTCGACAAAATACAACTCGCTTGTAAAAAAATATATATTATTTTGTATAAATGTAAGAAGATTAAATGACACTATCAATTTGGTCTTTTGATTGTTTCTTTGCAGAACGCCTAGAGTTGGTCCCACAGAAATTTATTAAAGATCTTCTGCAGGTGCCTTGGAGGAATTTTGACCAACTTCCGGGAGATGCTGCTTGTTTTGACCTCAAGGTTCTAATTTTGGCCTCTATTCCTTAAAAATTTTGATTGTGCAATGGAGAAATCTGAAGTTTCTAAGCCAATTGCAACGGTTGTAACAGGAAACAACTATAATATGTGTCCAAGGTATGAGAAATGAAAACTTATTACATATTTATGAAGAAAATTGCAATAATTTCTTTTGTCCTTAATTTTTTGAACTTGACTTTTGTTGTTTGGTTTTTTTTTTTTTTGTAGCCATCAAGATTGGAAAAGAAAATAAAAAGAGGGAAGAGTAGAGACCATCGGTAGAGCTGATTTATATTAGCTGCAGAAGTGGTCCGATCATCGAAACGGACGCAACCACCTTTTCAGAGCCAAAATTGGGAATTGGCCACATATGGCATGCACTGATAAGGTCGTGCGTAGTACCAGGAGGTATTGGTTAGCAATTGGTTGGCTCCATTTAATACTCGGTTTCTTTCTTTCATTTTCATGATTTGCTTGTGGGTGAGCACCTTTAATGCTTTCAAATTACTGATTATTAAGTTTTAATTGTTAAATCCATCAAGGAAAAATGGTAATGTTACATATGTGCTACCTCCTGGGTCGACTTTTGCAAGTATTTCAAGTAATGTAATTTTGATACAGCCTTTCAATATATATACATATCTTTAAATTCATGATGATGATATTAGACTTTGATCAATAGAATATACCATGTCAGTACATAAGTAAAGATTTTAGATAATTAACAATTTCATGTTTTTCTTAGCTTTGAAATATGTTAAATTAATTTTCAGCTTGTATGGCTTTTTGCCATGTCTTTCATAAAATGAAGGTTGATTGTTTCCTTCATTTGTAATGATATTGAATTACGAATAAAATAAGGATCTATTTTATTGAATGAAATTTTACTGGAAAATTATATTTTTCTTGTACTTCTTTTGTGTTTGTTTTGAGAATAAATTCTTATTAATTTTTAAAATTAATTATTACAAATTAAAGAGTTCAATCTAGTAACATGGTCTGAGGCAATTGGAGGGTCACAAACCACTCGAACACCAGGATGCGACCTGCTACATTATTTGCTACAATTGCAACATCTGAATCTACTTGTGGTCCGATGCCTTCTGCTGCTGCTGCACGAGTTTCATCACCTTAACCTACGGGCTATCAAGAAATGAAGGCTAATGTGAAAGAGTTGGAAGACTAACGTGTCCGATATTAAGTCCATCATGGAGATTATCCTTAAGAGGCTCCTAAATCCAGCTGTCAGGTCTTCATCATCACAGCAGTCTCACCTAAAGTCACAACAGCAATCTCCTCTTCTTCATGATTTCGCCAATGAACAATTGTAATTCCTTTTCAGTGTGCTATAGATTTTTTATATTAACATTTTTTATAGACTTTGAACATTTCTTTTTTAATTTTCAAAATTTTTGGGGTGTTTTTTTTATATAATACATTTGGAGTATTTTTCAAATAAAATTATTATTTTAAATATATTAATATTGTGATTCAATGTAAGAAACAAAAAAATATTAAAATATATATAATTAATTACTGTCGACGAAATTCTTTCAATACAGATGTATTTTATTTTTTTATAGATGAAATTTACTTTATTATTGATAGAATAATATACATTACTGACGGAACAAGTCAAAAATTTTAGTTGCTAATTTTGACGGTAAATTATCGTTGAATTTTTTGATCGAGATATTAGCCTGTAATATTTCAATGAATTTGCCAACAATAAAATTTTCGGTCGATAACTTTACCAATGGATTTTTCACATTACCTACAATTTTTTTGACAAACGGATCAAATTTTTACTGACGAAAATACCAACAAAAACTTTAGTTGGCGATATTTTTGATAGATTTTTAAAATACTAATGAAAAATTATTATTGATGATGATATTTTTGATTGAGTAACGACAGATTTTTTCGTCAATAATTTCATCGATAATTGATGTTACCGACATAATGCACACTTTTACTGATAAATTTTTTCGTCGGTAAAATCACATTTTTTATTAGTGTATTGACCAGATTGATTGTTGGTCTTTAATGCACTATAATCTTCCTCTCTTTTTTCTTTGTAATTATCTAATGGATTAGTTTTTTATGTTTTGCTTGACAGGAGAAGGGACTTAGCATTTACTTTTTATAGTGAATCCCTAGTCACAGCCTTCATGAAAAATGGAGTTTCTTATAGGCCTACTCATTAAATCCACATTTATTATATTCATATATTACTATTGTATACATAAATCTACTAATTCATGTGTCACTGTTACATACATAAATCTACTTTATCAAGACCAAATAAGCTTATTTTATAAAACATTAAATAAATATAAATAACGTATGTCTATAATTTTGTTTTGAGAAAATCTAACAATTAGATCTTGTGGGAGAAGCAAGTTGAGCGTAGGAGCATTGAGTGTAAGAGCAAGGAGGGATGTTTTTTTTTGGCTTGGGATGTTTAAATAGGGGATCTTTCGGTTTGTTGATGAAAGAGGTGGAACGTGGTCGTCGGAGAGGTATTGGAAGGATGGTGGGGAGGTGGCAATGGCACAGAGGTGGAGGGGAGGGGGGCTAGTGGGGGCCTTGTCCCCCGCCTTCTCAATAATTTTTAAATTTTTTTAAAATTATCTCTTTTTTAAAAAATTTTATAATTTCACTCTTTTAATAATTTTTAAATTTTTATGACTTATGTTTACTTTTTAGAAATTTTATAATTTTGCTCTTACAAAAATTTTAAAAATTTTCTAACATATTTTTATTTTTTTGAAATTTTATAATTTTACTCCTACAATAATATTTTGTTTAGTAAAATATGGTATAATAATTAGTCAACAACTAATTTTAATAGAACTAAAACAAAACCAATTGCATTTTTCAAAAAAAAAATGCCATAGAATTATTTTCAAACCCTACTACTCCAAAACCTCACAATCACCACTTACTCTCCTTTCTTTTTATCAAATACTGTAAAAATAATTATTTTTTTATACTTTTTTGCTTATCAGTGTTCTTTGTATAGAAAACTTTTAATCAGTAATTCAATTTTTATATCAAGATAATTGATAAAATTTATTTATTTACTTATTTTAATTTTAATATTTTAAATTTTAAATATTTTTTTTATTTAATAATTTTTACTTGATGACTTTGATTTACGATTTATCCTCTTAACTCTTTGTTGTTGAAAGCAATTTGATTAGGCATCTAAGGTTGGTTATTACTTATTTATTTAGGGATTGCTTGATTGTTTTTCCTCCAAATTAGTTTTGTTTTTTTTAAAAGATTTTTGTGAACAATTAAGTTTTTTATTCAAAAATTGCTTCTTTGTTGAACTATTTATTAATGTTATATTTAATTTTTGTAATAAATTTTAGAAAATTACTTCTCCATTGCTTCTTAATTACTTTTTATTGATATTTTTGTTATTATATTTATTAATTTTTATTTATTATTAAATTTATCTAAAAATTAAGATTATTATCATTATTAAATTATTTATAATTATACTAGTTAATTCTTTTAATTAAATTATCAAGATTGATTCTTTTAAATAATTTTTAAATTTTATTTATATAATTTTTATATGAATTTTTTTATCTAAGTTGTTTTATATTATTGTTACATATTCAATTTTTAATATAATTATTTAATTTATAAATATTATTTTTAACTTTTTACTTTCTAGGTATAAAATCTGGACTCCATCGCTGCTATGAAAGTTTCTTGCCTATCCGCTGAAAGTACCGTGTGGATGGCGGGTGCTTGGGTTGTGATGATTGCTGGCTTGTGTTATCTTAGGTCGTTTTGTGATCGGATGAACAAGGGGAGTCGAGGATGGCATCGTGCGGTCGGGGGTCTGCTTATGGATAAGAGTTGAAGGGTCCATCCCAATCTTTTTGCCTGTGTGTGGTGGGGGCGATGTCCTTGATGGTGATTTGCCTCTCTTCAATTGAGATCTTGAGGTGAAGCCGCGTGAACACAATCCGATTTTTTGAGGCATGTTACAATCTTGTGATGTGGATCTCTGCCAGGCCTGAGAAGGTTGTGGGCATTTTGTGGTTGTCTTTTGCAGCTGCTGTGGGTACGTGGGCTGGGGTCTTCAAGGGGTTCAATGAAGAAATAAGGCTGCTTTTAATGAAATCTTGACTTTTGAGCAAAGAGTTGCATATATGTGGATTGCTGATTTAATGATTTCTGCAGCTCCTGCTTTGATTGATATGCTGGTCATTGTATGTTAGGTCTCTCTCACTTGTCTTTTCGGAGCAGTGTAATTATTTTCTGACTACTTTATGCAGTCGAATTAGAAGTAATTAGGTTAGCGTCATTGGTTTTTGTTGAGCTTCCCTTCTTTTGTGTTCGGGCTTCTGGCTCAAGATGAGAGCTTTTAAGAACACTAGAGAAAGGCCCGCGCAATGCTCCTGGATCTGATTAGCTGAAAGTAAAGGAAAGCCCAAAGATAAAAATTCAGAATCAAGCCGAAACTCCTCATCAATCTTAATTAGGACATATGTCAACATCCATTATTCTCAACTGTCTTTCAATTCTTCTGAACAACTTTTAATAATAATATAGATTTGGTGAGTGAACCCCATTGGCTTCGTCACAGCTAGTGCCTGTCCCTTTGACAAATGTACAGTTTTTCCTTTGTCTCAACCGGCGCTGCATATGTGAATAGAGTCCCTTGCAATTAAAGTAAGAAACATGAAATGATATTACAGAGTCGAGGTTGATAACAATTTTGTTTTCTTTTAATCAAACGTTCTATTAAAGAAACCCATGTTAAAGTGTGTGAGTTGGTGCCATGTGGCAATGACTTGTTCACGTACCAGTTCGGGATTGAGCATGATATTAACAATATATGAGCTTGCTGAAACCCAATACTAATAAGAAAAATTATTTCTACGCCCGCCCATTTGAGCTCCAGTCTGTATATTAAAAACTTGCTAATTTTGATGCAAGCAAAAATGGAAAATACAACTAACTTAATTAAAATATGTTTTTCTTTAAATTTTTAGTAATTCATGTTACAAAGCAAACCATCCTTTCTTGTTGATATCAATTTTTTTATATTAACCTTTTAACTTTAAATTGTTTACCTTATTAAAACTAAAACTAAATGAGTAAATTTATTTAACAAATCTACTATTGAGTAGTTTGGATACCAATTTGCTTGCTTTGAAAAATTAATTATGCAAAAATTTTAATGTAAAAAAAGAATTAAGTCAGCTGCCATGAGAAGCACTATCGTATATATAGGATCAACTTTGATTATAACCAGCATTGGGTTCGTTCATAAGATATACGTAGAAAGAACAGCAGACAAACAAATATATATATATATATATATATTTATATAGCCCCGATAAATTGAACCCATTATTTTATTTTGGAACTCCAAGTCCTTATTCTATGCAGCCAGCTGCTATCCCGGCTTCATTCATCTTAGTTCACCCTGTAAAGAGAGAAACATTTTAATTAGAAAATAGAAAATCCCTTTAACAATTATGCATAAATTTATATATATATATATATATATATATATATCAAGACAAAACTAAAGTGTGTGTTCAGATGAAGAATTTTGAAAATTCTCAAAATTTCTAAACCGAAGGTAATTTTTTAAAATGCATCAAGTTAAAATAAAATTAATAATTTATAATTGCATATTGTTTTGATATTTTTTTTTAAATGCAATTTGAAGTATTGAAATATGATGGAATTAAAAACATTATAATGATTATTTAAAAAGAAAGAATGATGATGTTAAAGACAGTCAGCATTCAGCAAGGAGATGAAGGCGAAACGGATGTATATATACTTTTTGCAGTCCGTGGAGGGGCTGATCTTGTAAGGAATGTTGACATTGCACCTTCTAGGAAGGCCTTCAACCAAGTCCAGATTCAGACCGGTATAGGTCCCAGCCAGGCCTTTTATGCAGTTGCAAGCCTTTTGGCGATCAGCTTTTCTCTGAGCCTGTTGGTTCAGTCTCCGAACCCCATTGCAGCATCCTTGCGGTGGCGGAGGCACATTTTTTCCACGCAACGTCAGGTAAGTTAAGCATGGAAACAGTTGGCTTGTCACGTCATCACAAGTTAGTACGGCGGTGGCCATTGGATCAACCACCAACATGCACAACACTGCTAGACCAAAAACAAGCTTAAGATTAAGAGCAGCCATGAATATTTCTGTTGAAATTAATAAGCAGCCTTTTTCTTTTGGGACAGTAGCCAGTGAGAAGGAAATTGGCTTGTGTTTTCCAAGGAGTGACGGGGCTTGGCTTTTATGTACTACAACAATAGAATTGAACAATAATTTGCCAAGTCGTTGACCTTTTAAGTTTTTTTCTCTTTATGCAAATCTTGAGCTCCATGTGAAAGTTCATGATTCAATTAAATAATTAAATAAAAAAAACAAATAAGAATTTAAATAAAAATCACAAACCAAAATGTTTACTTAAAGATTTAAGTAAAAGATGTCCCATGAGGCACTTCATAATTTGAATTTAAAATTTTTAAATAAAAGACGGGTAAATTTTATTTACACCTTTTATAGTTACAATTTTTTTCATTTGACATTTTATGACTTTTTTTCTCAATCAGTAGTATCATGCGAATAATTTATGTTCCCACAAAAGATTAGGTAGTTAATTTTTGCCCAATAAAATTACAAAAATACTCTTCAATATAAACATATATGCTAACTGAAACATCAAGTATTCTAGTAATTTATTATGCAAAATTAACAAGGTATTGTTTATAGGAACAAATGTTATTCACAAAGTTACACATGAATATTTGTTTTATTAGTTGGTATATGATTTCTCTGCTTAAAAATAAGATTCGAATCCTTTTTTTTCCAATTTCAAAAAAAAATTATTCATAAAGTGTTAATTAAAAAAATGATATTTATAAGGTGGTAATTGAAAAGAGAAAACAGAATGCCATATGAGAAAAGTTAAAATCAGAAGTGAGGTAAATGGAGTTTGCCCATAAAAGCTCTCATGAATTACACATCTTAATAATTAGAACTTGTAATTATAATTTAAAGATTTGATAATAAATTTTGAAAGAAAAATTTTGGATTTTATAAGACGAGATATATTCAAAGCTCAATAGAATTATATTTCCTCCAACTCGTTTTCTTTGTTCATCTTTTTTACAATGTTCTAAAATTGTCTGCTGGGCAATTTTACCTTTTTAAATTTCAAATTTATTTTTTGTGAATTTTTTTTATTTTTTGACATTAACAACCATGAAACATCAATTTTATAGGAAACATTTTAATAAATTTTAAAATAAAATATACTAAAACAAATTTTTTATAATCTTTATGATAATCATATAATAATAACAAAATGTGAAAGGTGAAAAATTACGTATAGAAATTTTGTGCTTTTAAAAAAGTGTATAAAAATTTTATGAAATAATATCTAGAAAAGTCTTTGTTCTTTTATTATATTCAATTAAGTCAATATATTTTTATTTTGAATAAAAAAACTCTTATATTTTTATTTTTAACCAAATAAGCCATTATCATTAATGGTTGATTTAATTAAAATATTTTATCATTTTATATCATGTGATCATATTGACGTAATATGCTGATATGTCATAATAGATGATGATATGATATGTTGATATAACATTATGATATAATCATATGATATTTTTCATCATTCACGTCATCGTCATGTGAGCAATAAATGATAAATTATATTTTAATTAATTGCAATTAATCCATTATTATATTTTTCATGCCATAAAATGACTAGAAACTTGAAACTACATTCTAATTTTTTGAGACCAATAAAAATCTACTTTTCAAAAAAAAAATTATGAAGGCCTATTTGATTCACAATAAAAATATAAAAATTTAATTGAATGTAATATTAGAATAAGAATTTATTTACAATTTCTTAAATAGTTCATAAATTTTTTTGAATAGTGTGTCAGAATTTATTATATATTGAAAAGAAAATTAAAATTCCTTTTTAAAAAAAAATGAAATTAATCACCGTTACAATGCTAAGCGGCTTGGTGTGATGGATATGTGAGCAGATTTTAACGTTTCATTTGATAAAGGAAAAATTTAGGTGTCGTATGTGTAGTTTTTAAGGTAAAATTTTAGAATTTTTTTCATTAAAATTATAAGACTGAAAATCAAAATCAGAATATTTGTAAAATTTACGAAATAGATCAGCAATATTTTATGAACAAAACCTTATATTTTAAGCGAGTAGAACGTGGTAGTCGTCGCAAGTATTTACAATATTTTAGGGAATCCTTCGACATCTCTTTTTTAAATATTTTTATTGGAAGTTACTTCTTTAAATATTTTACATGTTCGTGCGACTTTCTTTTGTTTTTTTTTTACAGATATTCAAATATCTTTTAATATTGTTTTATATCAATGCAACAATCGACTTTTTAGTGATTAAGTTAAGAATCAAGCCATTTATAAGGTGCTCCTTTTTTTAATGCATAAACTTGAATGAGTAAAAGAATAAAATGTTGCTTGCATATCATGGAAAGATCTTTAATCGGCTTGCAGAATGCTACCGCGAATCTTTCGATATCTAATTTCGATCTATTTTACATGTAATAATGAGATATTTCTTGTTATTATATTGCTAACCTCTGCCTCTATATAACTCCATTTTTCAATATATAACCATAAGTAACATATATATACGTATATATTGGTAAATTTGGATTACTACTAATAAGAAAATCCTTGATAATTAAATATGACACGATTTTTGAGAGGACACCATTTTTAAGAAACTAGCTTTTATTTTATATTTATAATCGGTTGTTTGCATTGATTTTTTTCCATGATATTGGTAAAATAATCATTTTTAATTTTTTTTGTTCTTTTTGAAATATATTAATATTTATATTTGAAATAGAAACATATTAAACTTCAAATTAATGGTTTAATTAATGGAGTGATAAGACATATATGATTATGTAGCTAGATTTTTCCTTTTAAATGAGGTTAGGTAGATGTTTTAATGGGCAAGGAGTGGTATATCATCCAACTTGGTGGATTAATGCGAAATGATCTTTTTTTAATATTTTGATTAGAGATTTAGTGAGATGTCTTACGACTGGAAATAATCTTGTTAAGGGTAGCAAAAATAGAGCTGTTGTAGAATGATTTAAACCGGAGGAGGGTTGGCTTCAGTTTAATACGAATGGTGCCTCTAAAGATAATTCCGGTGAAGCAAAAATCAGAAGATTCTCCGTGATGATACAAGTACGACCCTTACCCTGCTCTCCAAATCTGTTAAACATACTGATGTTAACCTCGCTGAATTGTTTGCGGTAAAAGAGGCAATCAACATCTATGTGGCATCAGTTTGGTGCTCAACTAAATTGGTCATTGAATGTGATTCACTTAATGCTGTTTATTGGGTCCAATGCTTAGACAATGTGCCCTGAAGAATAAGGAAAATTACCATTAAAATCTCTCATCTTTCTTGTAGAGTGCCTTCACGGACTATCAAATATGTTCCTCCATCAGCCAACCATGAGGTGACAACTTAGCCAAAGGTGGGGTGCAAAGAACACACGACTTCTAGTGGGTTAATTATGATAACAGAGGGTCTACTGGCGGGTGAAAGCTATATTGTGATGAATGCATAGTTTTTTGTATCCCCTGATTGTGTGTATATGCAGGGTAGTCGGTCTTGATGTACAGTTTTTGGTGGTTTATTTTTGTTCAGGGTGACAATGTCACATGCTTTGTGGGTTTCATTGGATTTCCTTTTCTCTACAAGGATGGTTTTGTAGGGTGGATGGAGGCTTCTTACCTCCAGGTGGTTCTTTTTGACATGATTGACTCCCGCCTGTATGGGGGGATGTTGCAGACCTGTTTTTGAGTTGGTCTGCATCTTTTGTAACTTGTACATGTCCTGCAAAGTGTTAACAATGTCGATGAAGTTGAAGTGCTCAGCTGCACAGGAAGAATCTGGAAAAATGTATTGTGTAAAATCTTATTCAAGTAATTATGTACAAAAAACTCCCATCTATAATTAGTTAAAATGAAGGTAATTATGTTAAAATCAGAGTTACTTGGGGGACTAATACAAAATGGGCACACGTCAATCTTCCCATTGGTGATCTTGCAAGATCTCTTGATGTCGGTATTGTGCCTACGAAACTAATCGTGTTACTAAAGCTGAAGTGTGGAGTCGACCACAAGCTGGGATTCTTATATTCAATATTGACGGTTCCTCGAGGGGCTGCCCCGGCGACTCTGAAATTAGTGGCATCCTCCGGAATGAAAATGGGGTAAACCTTGCCATCTTCTCCAAGTCTGTTGGAGTTACTTTTGCCATCCATGCTGAACTTTTCGCTATTAAAGAGGCAGCAACAATTTTTGTCACTTCAAATTGGTGCTTTTCTCATTCTCTTATGATTGAGTCTAATTGCAAAAATGCTGTCCATTGACTTGCAAAACCCTCCGAAGTACCATGAAAATTAATGCCGCTAATCATGAAAATTTTCAAAATTCTTAGCACAATGGCAAGCTGGGATATAAATTACATCTCTTGCTCGGCTAATGACAAGGCTGATCAATTGACCAAAGAAGGTGTGTTGCGCTCACAGCCCATGCTCCGGATTCATGTGAATAATTAACTTGTCTTTTGGCATGCGTTTGGGTTCCTACTTCTATTATGTTCTTCTGGCTTGAATACTTTTTTGCCTCCTTTTGTAATGTTGACCGTGTGTTTCTTTCCTTCTTTCTCTCTACATGTGCTTGGATGTATGCTAAATAGGCCTCCTCTTTGTACAGGTTGTTCTTGTCGCCTGTCCAGCTAGCTATTGAGCAGGACTAGTAATGTACATTGGGGACGTATTCTATTTGTTAATCGCCTCTCTCCCCTTTCTGTACCACTTTTGTCTTTCTCTTTGATGAATTTACATGTCTTCCTTTTTTAAAAAAAAAAGTGAAGGTAAGAAAACAACCTGTCAGCAAAAGACAAAAAAAGAGGTAACTTCTGCTAATTACTGCAGTCACTATTGATAAATTAGCGTACAAGCAAGGGAAGGGCTAAACACGTGTCTTGACTTAGGCTTTTACGTGCTGCTCACGTGCCTATCTTCTCCTCCGTATAAGGCTACTCTGCTGTTACTCTTTAACTCTTCACTCCTTTGGCATTGGGTAGCATA